ACCTTTCATTCTTTTATAATGATGTTGTGCAGGGTAAGCGTCTGAGTGATGCTTCCTTTTGGCCCTTCTAAATAGGGATTTTCTCCCCTCCCTGTCAGTCTGCAAGATCCCACAAAGTATTAATAAATAACAAAAGCATTTTGAGGAAACTTGAGTGGTGACATGGTGCACATTTAGGAAAACAAACCAGCAAGAGAGGGGACAAACAGCATTTTACTGCTTCATATATACCAAAATAAAATATGTGCACTTAAGGTTAATGACAACATCTGCAAATCAAGTTGCAGGTGCTGATAGCAGATCTGTTAGGTTAAGCAAGCATCTGCCTTGCTTAATACTTCTTTTATATATTTCTTTTACAGTACTGCCCCAATCAAAATGGGACAGTGGAATGGGTACAGCAAAACAAAAACACAACGTGAAAACAAGATACAAATGAACCAATAAACTAGGGGTGTCAAAATTCGTTTTCATTGAGGGCCACATCAGGGTTGTGTTTGACCTCGGGGAGGCATGGCCACGGTGGGCATGCCAGCTCAACATCACTTGTGTCAGGGGCACCAGTAGTGGCCCGAGCGCTCTGCCAGCGGAAACGGGCTCCTGAGCTCCATTTTCAACTGTGACGGCCTCCTGCAACCCTCTGCCAGTGGAAACAGACTTCAGGAGGGCTGCCCGCGGCCCTCACGAGCTCCATTTTTACTGGCAGAAGCACCGTGGGCTGATCCTTCACTTTTTCCAGGGCGGCACCATGGGCCAGATCTAAGCACCCCATGGGCCGGATCTGCCCCCCGGGCCTTGAGTTTGACACCCTTGCAATAAACCATCTGGTTAACCAGGATTTCTGTTAATGACCAGGCCAGATGGACAGAATTGGGTTCAGCAAGCCATTGCCCAATTTATCCTGGTGCTGAACATCAGAGGGCTCCCAAAGGAATAGCCATCACTTTCAGGTCGTGTCTCTTAGCGCCCAATGCAGCAATTTCAAAATTAGGGTCCTTCTGGCTTGGTGGCATTGTTTTATGAAGGATTTAGCCACTGCTTTTGTACCAGTTGTAGCTTCCATGTTGCCTCCAGTGGCATTCCTATATCTAGGACACTTGCTCTACTCTAGTCCAACTAGATATGACTCTTATTGTCAGGTAGGATCATAAATTGCTGCACCAGCAAAGTCAGAGAAAGCCTTTCCTTGCTGTTGCTTCTACTTGTTGCTTAAACAAGTGAGAGTCCAGGAGAATTCCAAGTCACTAATTCACTATTTTACTATTCATAGTAACTATGGAGACTAATATTAATAGATCTTTTTGATGTTTGTTGACAACAAGCAACTTCATATTGGCTTCATATTTATTCTGGGGTTGTTTTGCCTCAGCAAGATTCTCACAGCTTCAGACTCAGCAGATCCTTCAGACTAGTAGGCTGTTCAATCTAAATGTTATGAAAATCCTCATCTTTATAACAGATAAATTGTCATGTAGTTAACCATGTTAAAGCCAAGCAATTGGGAGTCATTGAGCTGACAAGTCCCCAAAGTTTTTACTCAGGAGAAAACAAGTTCTAACAACCTATTTGGAGATCTAGTTCGTTTTTTTCCCAAAACCTACTTTTCCTTTGTCAATACCTTTAATCGTGGATATGAAAACTGAACAAAGCAGATTATAGTAGTGTTGATGTCTATATATCAAGGAGGTCCTAGATTGCAATATATTAAAATCTTAAAATAAAATACCTGCTTAACTCTTTTTTTCTTTTTGACTTCCTCGAAAAAGAAATACAGTAATAGGAAAATATTCTCTCTCCTATTGCAAAACAACAACAACAACATACGACCTTGAGTTTAAACATTACTCAGGAAGTCTCAGCAATATGCAGCAATGGTGATAGCATTTGTTCATAAATTGTCTGGATAAATAGATATCTAGACATCCAAATAAAGAGTTTTTAGAGATGATCTGCCAGTGATCTTGATATGGGTAACTATTTCAAACCTATCTTGGAGGTACATAGAAAAGGAGCTGCTAAAGAATTATTATCTAGGAAGACTTGTGTATGAATAAATGGAAACATCATCTAAAGAAAATGAAAATATTCTTTGAGGCAATATTATAACGCATGAAAATACGTGTTGAACAAATAATGGCTGGCTTCACACTCTCCTTTAAAAATCGTTCCCAAGTACCCAGTTGGCGGGTATGGCCAAAAATGTTTTTGTCCACTTTAAGGCTAAGTAAATTTCTGGGAACAGATTATGACAGTTTGAATCTGTTTTGAATCTGTCAGTTTAAAGTCTATTTTTTTAGAGCGAGGAAGAGGAATCATTTTCTGTGTTCCTTAAAACTGATGTAGTCTGATACCAGCAACATTTATATGGATTTTTTTCAGTCCATTATCTTTAACTCTTTTAATAAATTGGAAGTGCAAATTTCATGCTTTGAATACCTTATCCGAGCTTTGAATCTTCTTCCTCCTTTGTTTTTATTTCTGTCACATTTTGTCAAGTTTTGGAGAACTTGAAAGATCATGCATTATTTGTGTTCCTTTGGTTTACCCTAATATAGATTTATATATTGTTAGATTTACAATGTATTCTACCTTTTGTTTATAAATTCAAGGCAGCATATATAATATTTCTATTCATTGTTTACCACAATAATCTTATAAATTACTCTGAGAGAAGAGAAGGAAGTTGGCCCAAGTCATCAGTAAGCTTTCATGATTAAAGACCGTTTAGAAACCTGGATCATCCCAGTGTCAAATCTATTAGTTTCATCATTACACTGGATTTTAAGATATACATCATCAAGCAATTGTGCACTTAAAGATTAAATTGGAAAAGAGAAATTCTGAAAGAAGGCAATGGAAGAGCATTTCTGTACAGATATCAAAACAATCTACATACTGTGACAGGAATCAAGGTGAATTTCACAAAGTTGACCTTTCTAATAAAATTATTTATTATTATTTAGTTATTGTTGTACCTTATTGTTTTTCCTTTCCCCCACACCTCACCTTTCATCTCCCAAGATCTTGATTATTTCTGCCTAGCTGGGAAACAGCCTTTTCTGTCTGAAACCCCAGAGAGTCGCTGCTGGCTGGGTTATACTGGGCAAGGGAGGCTAAGTCGGGTCAAATAGCTGGTTGTGGTTACTGTTGGAATCCTAAATCCTTGGCAGATTTAAGAGGCATGGACTTCAACTCCCAGAATTCTCCAGCCAGTCCTCCTTTAAGCGTATAGCTAGATTTCATAAAATATGACATGTATATACAATAAATGTAAATTAAATATGATGTATAATATCCCTTATATATATTTGTGTGTGAATTCAGGAAAAAAAATTGTTCCCAATTGTTTATTTCTTTTAAGTAGATGAGTTTACCATAATTATTATGAGACTTTTTCTGAATCTTGTTAAGCATTATCTAGCCCACTAATGATGAACCTTTTGGGAAATCCCTAACAGGACTCTGTTGGCATATCACACCCTTGCCCCCCCAAAAGAGAAACAATTCTTTATCTCCCCTCCCCCTCATCAAGGCCACCCGAACAGCGGCACTCAGTGACAATGATGAGGCCAGCCCTAGATTTGAGGCCCAGGCCTCAACTTCAGCCCTAGCACAACCATTGCTACACAAAAAGGCCACTTCATTGCTGTTCCCAAGGAGCATAAGCTTCAGGGAACAACACAATTGCCCCAGTTGCCCAGTGCTCCCCAGAATATGTCATTCAACACTTATTTTCAGGTTGTGTTATCTCTCTGTTGAAGGCCCCTTCAGCCTACCAAAGGCTGCTTCAGGTTGCACAAGGCCTTCGTTCTTGAAGCAGCTTTAGAGAATGCTCTTCCATAGCCTCTGCAGCCTCCACAAACCACATGAAAGCATGCCTCATTCTCATGCAATTTTTGCAGGCTCCATAAGCCACACAAAAGCACCCTCCATTCTCTTGTGGCCTCCACAGCCTCCAAAATCACATGAGAATGGAATGTACTTTCAAGAATAGTTGGTGCCAGGTGATGGTAAATGCTGGCATATCACACAAAATGCTGTGACATGTTGCTTTTGACACATGTATCATGGGTTTACCATCACGGCTCTAGTCAGTGCTAAGCATTTTAAATGCTTTTAATTAACTAGTCAGATTGCATGCTGGTCACTATAAGGACAAGTGACATCCTTTGGATCTGCCCTTGGTAATCCACAGCTCCTTTAAGGAGATTCCACTGAGAATCCTTTGAGAGGCTTCAGGGCCTTCAACAGAGAGATAATACAACCTGAAAAAAAGTGGTGCATGGCAGATCCTGGGGAGCATTTGGCCATGGTGAGAAACGTATCATTCCCCAAGGCTTGTGCTCCTTGGGAATGACAATGAAGTGGCCTTTGTGTGTGGCAATGATAGTGCTTGGGTTGAAGCTGAGGTTTGGGCCTCAATTTTAGGGTTAGCCTCATTGCCACCAAGTGCTGCTATTCAGGGTGGCGTTGATGAAGGGATGAGAAGTATTTGTCTTTTATTTGTTTTGTGTGTGTGTGTGTGTGTGTGAGAGAGAGAGAGAGACAGACAGACAGACAGAGAGGCATACCAGCAGAGTCTATCCACCTTATTCATGGCCTTTCCTTCTTCTTACCCAACTTTGCCAAACATGTTTGTTTTTTTCTAGTCCCTCATCTGCTCATTTCACAGGTCCAAAGTATGCAGATTTCTGGAACAGTTCATCTTTATTAGTATTTATTTTATTTTGATGCTTGCATAAAATCAGGAACTTAATGTTGGTTAACTTAGGAACCGCTATCCTGTAAAAGTGTTGGTGAAAGTTGGCCTTTCATTGACTGTTTTTCACACTGAATACCCTGGTGTTGTGGATGTCCTTTGTATAGCCATGAATTAAAAACAAAAACAAAGCAACCAGAGGACCGTCTGTCATTGTCTCCAGCTTTTCAGAAATTTGACAGTCTGTTCCTGGTCTTTGAGGAATGGCTTCTTATCTCTGTTTTCCATTTATTTCCACCAGTTGTGATCATGTGTGCCAGCAGTGACGCAATACGGAACATCATGCTGGCTGCACATCGGCAAGGAATGACTAGCGGAGATCATGCTTTCTTCAATATTGAACTTTTCAACAGTTCATCATATGGTAATGTAATTTCTGTCTTCCACTGGATTGCAAGATTTTACTATAAACACGCTAACATTTTAGGGATGGTGTTAGTTTTTAAGCAAGTAATTGTAACCTTTCAAACAAGCATTTGAATTATGACATTTGGCAAAAAAAAAAGTAAGCAGATCCATGGTTAATACAGTGGAAGTTAATTTCGTTCATGGTTGCTTCCCATGCTGTTTTCAAAAAAATTAGCTATTCTGTAAAATGATTTACTTTGAGAAACACTTGTTTCTCTGAATCTTCTGTGAGTTCTTACAGCTGAGCCAGTCTGGTTTTGAATGTGCATTATTATGATGTAAGACTGCATCACACCCTGATTGGCTAGGCATCATTTGGTCTTCTTAAACTATAAGATGTTATAAAAGGCCCACCAGATGAATTTAACTCCTAGTTAACCGGCACAACTTTTCAATTTGCTTGGTAGCAAAATGTAAATGATTTGTGATTGTCTTTCAAGTTTTCAATTTAGCCTGTACTCCTGGACTTTCATAGTGGCCCGCTCCAGATGCTAACTAAGCCTGATCCTGCTTAGTTTCCAAGCCAAGAGAAAGGCAGGTGATGTCATCTGCTGAGACCTAAATTAGTATTGATTGATTGGTTAATTAAGTGCCATCAAATCAATGTTGTTTATTAGCAACCACATTGATTGTCTCCAACCTGCCCAAGATTTTCCAGTGGGGTGCTCTCATAGCATGTCCAAACTTTATTACCATAGTCTGGGCTTGTCATTTGTGCGTCAAGGGATAGCTCTGGGTTTGTTGTGGCAGCAGCCAGCAGAGCTGGCGGCAGACTCAAGACAGTGAGGAGGCTGGGGAGGAACATGGGCCACTCCTGGAAGGCTCTGATGAGTGCTCTGCGTCGGAGGCAGAGAAAGGGCCAGGGCCATCTGACAGATCAGCTGCCTTCAGAATCGGAGATCAGTGGGGCAGAAGAGCAGCTGGAGCCTGTTCCCAATGTGTGCATGCGCAAAGCTACCAGAAGAAGGGAACAGTTAAGGAACAAGGGTCAACTTGGCAGTAAAGGCTTAGGTGGATGGTGAATGGCCCCTCCCATAGGGAATAAAGAGGAGTGAAAGGGGAGTGGTGTTTGCAGGAAACAATTAGTTCAATTTATTAGGATGAAGATCTGTTTCTGACTTCTTGCCAAGTAATTTCTGCTATAGCGTGGCATTTGGAAGATATCAGCTTGGCAACTCTCCAAGCCTGATAAAGGTCTGTAGTTGTGAAATCTCATGAAAGACTGTTTGCCGGGACTTTGCTGGAGAGGAATTCTCTTTAACCTAAATAAAGGGTTTTATCAGGATGAAGAGGTCAGCAGCTGAGCCTACAGAAGGAAAGGCAACATGGCAAATGTCTCAGAAGGGATCCCCCCTAGTTTTATGCAGGGGTGGGATTCTACCGGTTCGGACTGGTTCGGGCGATTTGGATGTTAAAGTTATATCTGTTCGCCGAACTGGTATTTCAGTCGACCAGCTGGCCTGTGCCGCCCCTCCCAAGAGTCTCCACGTAGCCCTTTTTCAATGGAAGTAAGTGCAGAGTCCGAGCAGAGGCTCTGGGAGAGGGAAAAACGGGCCCTCCGGAAGTTGGGAAACACGTCTGTTTCTGGCTTCCGGGGGGCCTCCAGAGCCCGGGGGAGGCAGTTTTCGCCCTCCCAGAGGCCCGGAGAAAACCTCTGGACCCTTGGGAAGCAAAAAATGGCCCTCCCAGAAAAACCGGAAGTCACAAAACGGGCCTGTTTCTGGCTTCTGGAGTGCCTCCAGAGCCCAGGGGAGGCTGGTTTTGCCCTTCCAAAGGCCCGGGGGAAAACCTCTGGACCCTTGGGAGGGCGAAAACAGCCTTCCCCGAGCTCTAGAGGCCCACCGGAAGCCGGACACAGGAAGTTCTGGTAGGCCACACCCACTCAGCAAGCAGGCAGCAAATCTTTTGCTAAGATTTTTTTAATCCCACCCCTGGTTTTATGGAATATAAAGAGGAGAGGGAGCAAATATATTTTCAGATTTTCAAGATTAATACAACCTTGGGATAAAGATAGAGCTAGTACTTCTGGGTAGGTCTCTTGTCTGGACTACCTTGCAAGGCTGACATTTCCAGAAGTGTTTTAATTTACTTCCTTTCATTTCAGCCGGCATGGCTAATGGACATAAATCCCAGAAATAATTGGAAACATAATCAAACACATCTGGAGAACACTTAAGTTAGGGAAGACTGTATTTGTATGTAATAAGGCAAATTTTGAAAGTCACACCGGCTACTCATAAATACCCTGATCAGAACAGCACCATTTATTCTTTGCTATTTGCTGACCTCAGGCTGAGAATTACAGCTATTGTGCCCTTCAATATCGTGTTTGGGTTATACTTCTTAACTTGCATTACCGGAAATTAGCTGAGTGTTTAGCGAAAAAAATAGTTTAAATATTTGAGTTCTGTTTCATTTTTATTAGTTCCTTCTTTTAGTAGTAAGTTTCAGTGGAGTAATATCCATGGTGCAGTTTGAGAAGAGAGGTCATTTAACAAATAAAACTTCACTTGAAATAGCATTCTTGCACAGGAATCCCCCAAGGTAGCATGTTTAGATGCAGGAAGAACTTGCCATCTAAGCAAGTGTGTGTGCGGTTTGTGGGTCTTGCAAATTATTTAATGGACAATGTCCAAGGCTTGACTTTAGTGTTTAGCTTCATTGAAAGTTATTTCTAGGAAGTGAGCTTGTTTGCTTATGTATTTATTTATTTATTTATACCGTATTTATAAATTACCCTTCATTAAAATATATCACAAGTGTTTGTGTGTGTGTGTGTGTGCGTGTGCGTGTCTATGTGTACTTGCACATATATAAATAAATTGCATACCTATGTGACGCTATTACTTTGAGTACTTTGCAAAATAAATACCTTAGCAAAAATAATCATAAAATTAAAAGGCAGTGAAAATACAGTTTGGCATAAACTTACTGTCTTAAAATGTCCAGACAAATAATAACAAATTGATCAAAGCTGAAATGCTTGAAAAGACTGCTTTAGTTATGCTTCTGTAGGACAGGTGTTCTATTAACATTATGTCACAACCAAGAGAGCTCTCTTCTTGTCACATAATATGTACCAGCTGAACCATTTTTGGTTAGTGGTTAAGGCAGCAGGTTAGAAACTAGGAACCTGGGAGTTGCAGTCTTGCCTTAGATAACAAGCTAGCTGGGTGACCTTGGGCTACACTCTCAGCCCTAGGAAGGGGACAGTGGCAAACCATTTTGAGAAAACTGCAGATACTTGTCCAGACAGTTGCCAGGAGTCAAAAATAAACTTGATACCTCCAAATTGGCTTAAATAAGCTTTATCAAGGTATGCGATGTGTTCTACATGCCATGTGTTCTTGCTGTCTAATCCAAAAACTACTAGGTCACTGAGTGGTTTTTTTTTTTTTTGTCAGGTCAACCTGGTCTACCAAATTATGGGACAGAGCACACTGCTTCCGTTTTTGCCTTTCGGCCCAATCAAGCAGTGTTTACAGGCAGTCGCTTTTGCGACAAACTATTTTTGAACTGAATTTATGTTTTAGAGGTTAATACATCTACCTAATATACAAGTAGCCCAGGTTCAAATCCCAGAAGGCTAGTTGATGAGAGCTAAATAGCTTGAAATAGATCTGTACTAGTCTCCCTTTACTTCTTTGTTTGTAAAGCATAAATTCAATACTAGGTCACAGAATACTATGGCCATACTATTCCTATGGATCAGGCTGAACAGTTGTCCTGGAGAAAAACTATGTAGTGCTGCCCAAATTACCTGGCGACATTGGCTCCAGGAGTATTCCCAAGTTACACAGCTGATATTTTTCAACTTAATGGTCTCTTTTGCCTCAGCCAAATGATTAAAAAGTGCTATTTTTCTTTTGGACCAAATAAGCTTGGATTTTTAAAACAATGCTAAGTTAACATGGAGAATCCTTGACTTACAACCACAGTTAGGTCCACAATGTATGTGTCAACTCATAAAATATTTCTATGGTCTTTTTAGAGTTGCCAACAGAAAGGGAGAAGGGAGCATTGCAACCAAAAGTGCATTCCATAAATAGTTTTCAAAGATAGTAATTAGGGACTGAAGTTTCTGCCACGCAAAATTCTAACTGGAGAGCTTGATTGATGACTCTTGGCTAGGGATGTGTCCCATTGGAGAATATGAATTACGATACACCCAGGGGGTGGGGGGAAACCAGAATCAAGGGTGACAATGAATTATGTGTCTCAGAGTCGGCTATACCCAGGCAGTGCCGGACATGTTAACTCCCAATAAATCCTTTTGGAAGTTTGGCTCGAGACCCATGATTTAAATGGGGGTAACTGCCAGGATCTTAACAGTATGTTGTTAAGCAAAGTGGCTGCGGAGTGAGTTATCCCTATTTTTTTGACCTTTTATTGCTGCAGTTGTTAAGTGAATCATGTGTTCATTAAGCAAATCCAGCTTTCCTCATTGACTTTATTTATCAGAAGCTGGCTGGGGAAAGTCATACATGATAAATCACATGATCATAGGAGGCTGCAACAATCAGAAACACAGGTTGGTTGCCAAGCACCCAAATTTTGATCATGTGACCAGGGGATGCTGGTCACGTGATGTTGTAAGTGTGCAGATTGGTTGTAACTTACTTTTTATTTAGTGCTGTTGTAACTTCAAACGGTCACTAAAAGAGTGGTTGTAAGTTAAGGGCTGCCTCTAAATTGCAATGCCTTGGGTATTACATGTTAACAAGCCATAAACTAGTTGGGTTTACACATTTATTTTACTCCAAAAAGAGCAAACCATATAATGATTTAGCATGATATAAATCCAGAAATGAATTGTCTAAAATGCTTCTCCTTACAGTATATACAAATTGAATTGTTGAGTTTACAGATGTTTCTGGATATAGTCTTGCAAGCTTTGGAGTGCATGCCTTTTTTTTTTGAGTGACTGAACAGACAGAAATAAATAAGAATAGTAGCAGAATGGCAGTGTTGCAATATGGTTAACCATGTTGTCAGCATTAGCTTATGATTCTGTAACTAACAAGTAGTGTAATTAGTTCAGGCGGACATTATTTCAGCAATAGTGCATCTATGCATTAATTTAACATTTATTTGTATACCTTCGTCTCTAAGTGGTATCTCATAGTCATTCACAATCTTACTCTTTTACAAAAAAACCCAATAAATTAAAAAAGAAAAGTTTAAAGCATCAGGACAAGAAAACAAGATGAAAAAATTCATACAGCAATATGGTAGTGAAATTATGCTTTCTGTATAACTGCAGCTTTATTTCTCACATGGCTGGCAAGGTTTCCATGTCTAGATTAAAGTTATACATAATAAACTAAGAACAAGCATATAGTCCTGTAATACTAAGACCCTATCGATTTGTTGTGAGCTTTGCTGCCTGCTTATATGGTCCACTGTCTTAACAGAAAATAGCTCACATCAAAGAATTTTTGCAATAGCTGCATTGGATCTGCCCATTTCTGGCAGTTGATGTAAGAAACAACTCTTTACCACATGACAGACCTTGCTGGTGAGAATTATTTTAATTATGTATTTGATGGATTGTTGAGCCACCCAAGTCAAACAATGTGACTCTGGGTGGCGTAGAGCGAAAAGCAAACAATAAACCAAAGAAATAACCACATAACTTTCAAAACCCTAGCCAAAATATAAATTGATGGCCAAACATGATAATTAAACAACCCAAAGGGGATTCTATTCAACTGGATCCAAACATCTAAAGAAAAAGCCAGGTCTTAATAGCTTTTCTGAAAGCAAACACAGGTGGAGCTTTTGATGTGTTGGAGGCAAGATCATGCCAGAATACAGGAACAGCCACCAACAAAGCAACATTATAAATTCCATGAGATGACAAAATCTAAAAGAGAGATGGGTGTCAAACCCGATCATATCGCGGCCTGTTTCATGGCGTATCGGGATATTTTTTGCCCTTGCGGAGCCGGGGTGGGAGTGGCCTGCACAGGCTGTATGTGGCCTGTGGGCCATCAGTTTGACATGCCTGCTGTAGCATATTCTTCCTAGGGAGCGGATGTTCTTGGGAGAAGGAAGTTTCACAGGTAACCTATTCCTATGCTGTGTGAGCTTTAAAGGTGACAACCAGCAGCTTCGGTTGCATCCAAAAGCCTGCTGGAAGCTGATACAGCTTGTAGAGTAGCTGTTCCACAGGGGTATAAATGAACTATGCCCATATCTAGTTTACCACTGCTTTCTGGACCAACTATAGCAGTGGTGGCTAACCTTTTCGGCACCAAGTGCCAAAATGGGAGCGTGTGCGCATGTGCCAGGAACTGGAAGAACAGCACCCTGACATGCGTGTGGGAGCACCAGAAACCAGAAGCTTAGCTTCCCGGCACGCGCATGCGTGTTGGCCACCTGGTCTTCTGGTTTCTAACATGCATATGCATGCAAAGACCAGCTGGCCAGTGCACGCATGCACTCCAGGGAGCTGTTCTTCCAGTTTTCGGCACTCCCACGCGCACAAAAACCAGCTGGCCGGCACACATGTGTATGCCAGAACCCGCAAGAGCAACAGGCAGTGGCTGGCGTGCCTAGACAGGTGGGTCTGTGTGCCACTTCCAGCACGCATGGCATAGGTTCGCCATCATGGAACTATAGCTTCTGGATGTGGTCTTCAGGGACAGGGAACCCACCTCAAAGAAAGGAGGAGAACCAATGTCCTCCACTTCCAGCTCCCTCAACCAGTCCAGAAGGATGCCATGGTTGGTGGTATTGAAGGCCATAGAGAGATCAAGGAGAGCCAGGATGGACAGAGGCACAGCTGTCTATAAAACATGGCACACTGTATTTAGGAGGACCATTAAACCTTTTTGAACTTTCCAATTCAAAGAATGTTGAGATTCTGCCATGGCCAGTAGAAACGGTGTGGTAAAATTTAAGCATTGTGGATGGATCAGAGACCCAACTTTTTTTTTTTTCAGCTTGAATGGAATACGGTTTAATGGTTTTCAGAAGTACAGTGAGGCTATTAGGAAAAATCTTAATTTTCTCCCCAACTGTGTATTTGAAATTAGGAAGAAAGCAAGGGATTATCCTTGACTTCATAATAGAAGAAGTACTCAATTATCCAGATATTCTCTCTCATATTTACCCTCACTTGACCTGGATGGGATAATACTTTGGCAATAGGAACAAATGGCTGTTTTTCATACCTGGCCTCAATTGATTACAGCCTCAATTCATTCTGTTTTGACATTTGAATCTTGATATTTTTAGGCGTGTCTGGAGTTTTATGTCCAAAGGTATTAAAGAGACAGTGTGACCTTTTCTTTTAATTTTTTTTAAAGGACACTTTATCCCCATATTAAACTCAAAGCCTCTTCTCTGTTTGTTTCTGATTTTTTTTTTTTTTTGCAATGCATGGCCATCCACTGTCAATCCTGTGTTTTATTTTGCTTAATGTAGGAAATAATACACAAGGATTTTCCACTACTGAAGATAAAAAGATAGAATCGTTTCCTGTTTTTTTCCTCTATTTTTTCTTCTTAATCAGAGCAATTTAACCTTATAACCACCCAGAGTCGCCTTTTGGCAAGATGGGCAGCAATTAAATTAATAATAAATAAAATTTACAAGGTTAAAAAAAAACAGGTCACAAGTTTTGTTCTGGAATTCTCACAGCACATAATATTAAATTATCCCATCATTTGTCACTTTTTTTTAATTCTTTACTCGTCCCAAAGGATAGGTATGCTCCTTTCCATGCATGTTGTTTTTTCATCCTGAATTTTCTGCAAATAATTATCTTTCTCTTTTGAGGTCTTTACACAATTCCTTTTTAATGTAACTCTTTATTTCAAGAATCCGTATGAATTTATCTCATAAGAGGTAATTACAATTAAGGAACATTTAAGAGCTTAATGTCAATTCATAAAACATTTCTATGCCCATTTTATAGTTGCCAGCAGAAAGTGGGGGGGAGGAGTTTGAAAGAGCAGTGCTGTAGTTTGGAATCGAAAGTGCATTCCATTCATATTTTGCAGAGATTGCACCTAGGTGACTGAAGTTTCTGCCATGCAAATCTCTAATTGGAGAACATGATTGATGACTCTTGGCTATGGACATGTTTTGTTGGAGAATATGAATTATGATACACCCAGAGGGATGGGGAAAAACCAGGGTCAAGGGTGACAGTGAATTACATGTCTCAGAGTTAGCTATATCCAGAACATGCCAACATGTTAACTCCCAATAAATCCTTTGAAAGTTTGGCTCGCGACTCATGATTTAATTACGGTAACTGCTAGAATCCTGACGCTTTAATTGCACTGAGATGGACTGAAGATGCACCAACTCAAGTTAATACAATTAAAGTATATTTAGATGTTCATGGATTCTTTTCCTAGAGCAAGAAGGAGGAATCTATGGCCCACAGGCTACAGGCCATACAACGGAGTTCCCCATCTAGGTACTTCTTGGTTCATCTTTGCTAAATCAATGCAAAGCAACACATGGGAAAATACAGCCAAAGGAAAAGAGGAAAACAAGCTCTTTATAGTCCATAGTTTGGAACTGTAAATATTTTTATTTCTCCCTTAGGGAATGGTTCATGGAGGAGAGGAGACAAATATGATCTTGAAGCAAAGCAAGCATACTCATCCCTCCAGACAGTTACACTACTGAGGACAGTGAAACCCGAGTTTGAAAAGTTTTCTATGGAAGTAAAAAGTTCTGTTCAAAAACAAGGAATCTATCATGACGATTATGTAAGTACCTGACCAAGAGGATCGAGCTTTTAGCATCTCTAAAATACTATTTAAATTAAATCAGGGGTGACAGTGTGGTCTTTTCAAACTGAATCAAAATATCTTGAGTGTTCTCAGAATCTTCTATTAGTATCCTTGCTGTTGAAAATTGCTATTTGCTTGTTCACAGTCATTTTTAATAGTCGCTGTTATCAGTGAGATGGGGTGGCATAGAAATTTAATAAATAAATAAACTTTCTTTTCATTTATTTTCTAGAAATGGGACTTCTAAGGTATGACGTCATGAAAGGATAGAGCCCATAACCCATAGTGCTTTTCTAGTTCCATTTTGTTCTTTGTTTCTTTTTAATTTCAGGGTTACCAAATTTACTTGGGACATGTGTCTCCAGATACATCTTCAAACTTCTCAGTGGTCACTGAAGAACCTGTGCCAGAACATAAATCATAGGGGAGAAACTTATCTCAAATGCACTAGGTTCAAGGGAGATGTATGGGATGGTTTGTAATAGGTTGACAGAGATTTATGACTTCTGGTGCTTTTTCAAGAGAAGCAACAAAATGTTTCCTCTTCGTTTACACTATCATTATAATGTATGTATGTTTGTTTGTTTAAAAAAACTTTTTAAAGTATCCATTAATGGGTTTTTATGAAAATGAAACATGAGTTCCAATTAGTTTTGATCTTCTATACATAGATTTAAATCAAAAACTTAAAGAGTGTGCCTTTAGGATCAGGCATTCGTTGATGGATCTCAGCAATATGTAAAATAACAATAAAGTAGATTCCATAACTGTCTAGTAGTATGAGAGAACCGTTCTACTGTCCAAGAAGACACCGGTGAGTTCAGGCATTATGCTAAGTTACAGTGTGATTTGCTTGTTTGTGTTTTAATGATGTAAAGTGGTGTAAAGCAACTGGACTTCCTTTGTTTTGCTTCTCATCCAAAAAGCTTTATTGGTTCTGGATGAAGCTTTTTGAATGAGAAGTGAAATGTCTTCAAGAAAAAAGAAACGAAGAAAGTCCAGTTGCCTTTTAAAAAAGCACCTTTGGGGCAACCATGACCTGAATGACTGAGAATCTCCATAGATATGTTAACCATGCCCTAACTTCAGTGGGGGAATTCAATTTTTTTTTACGACAGGTTCTGTGGGCATGGCTTGGTGGGCATGGCAAGGGAAGGATACTGTAAAATCTCCAGTCAGAGGTGTATTTGCCAGTTCTCCAAACTACTCAAAATTTCCGCTACCGGTTCTCCAGAACTGGTCAGAACCTGCTGAATACCTCCTCTGCTTAACTTAATACAATATGTGAGCCAGGTCAGTAGGGGCTAGCTATTAGGAACTCAAGGCAAAAGATTGGAAAGTCAAGTGCATAGATTTAGAATCACTTACTTAAGAGTACCATGCGGGATATGCAGTGGAGCCATAGAAGGAAATTAGAGCTTGAAGAAAATGAAAGAATTAAGTTATAGGCTTAAGTGGAAAAGAGATTCTTACAGAAGAGAAATGGTCATTTCAGGTGAATAGAAATAAGATTTTAACAAATAAATATTGCAGTGTGATGTAAAATTATTTTAGTAGATGGCATATGCTTCTCATGGCAGATTAGTAGACAATGTATGATGTGAAAAAGGGAAATCCACTTGAAGTCAAGCTGAATTCCAGGTGATGTGATGGACACATCTACATAGTTTTCTTAGCAACAATATGGAAATTACCGTATTTATTATTTCCTTCTTTGGGGATATTTCTGTCAATACTCAGCCTAGCTTACAACCTTAGAATTACTTGGAAGTTCTTATGCAAGTTTTATGCAAGCTTTACTTGATATAGAAGGGTTACTGGCTAAGGAATTCTGGGAGTTGAAGTCCACAAGTCTTAAAGTTGCCAAGATTGGAGACCCCGAACTAGATGTTTCCACCATTTAATAGTTTCTACAGGTTCTATACATTATTGGAGCTCCTCTTGTGTTCATGAAAATAGAGCATTATATATTGGGTAAGTGTTTGATTTGCTTTGTGAAGTTATATGCCTTCATATCCTTCACACGTTGGACTATAATCTTAGCTCCTATGGCTTAAATTTAATCAGATACAAGGATAAGGATGGTAGGTTCATATTTGTGGATTTAAATGTATTTTTATTATTACTCGGTAATGAAGTGCAATAAAAATATAATAAGGGACATCCATATATGATACATATTTTAGATAATCATTTAGTAGAAAATTGACTCAATTACAGTGACAATAGGTGCATCGTTTGAAGATCTGAAGGATCACATTAGGAAGAGATTGTCCTGAACCAACTCTATTAATATGGTTCCTATGAGGTAACATTGACTTGATGTCACATAATCAGTAAACAAATGGTTTAAAGAATACTTCAATAAATAAAAATAAATAAATCTAATCAGTTGTGTGTTGCAATTAACATTGTTTTATCTCAGCCTTGTATTTTATCTCCCAAATATGCTGAATGACAGAGAAGATGGCTAAGATTTTAAAACAATATCCATATCAGAGTTTTTGCCTGTTTCAAGATGTATCCCTGTTAATTTCACATTCCCCATGAAAATAACCTCTTTGGGGCTTCTTCAGGTGTAAAGTTTTATGTCAGCCATGGGATGTCTTCCTTGAAAGTCTTTCATTTGCAGATAGTAGAGGAAATTGCTTGGAAGTTAAAACCACTTTATGTAGACTACACAAAAGATTACTCTGACACAATATATCTGTGAATTTCTGATGCTCCTCAAAATGCAAAATCACTTTCACTTGTAACCTTTCAAATCCGTCCCCTCCCTTTCTTTTGCAATAAAACAATCTGTGTTTAAATTAGCATAGCATCCAAAGAGAATTTAAAAGCTGTCCCAGGAACTGTGACTCTTTCTCCTGAGTCTTTCTTAGTAATCAAGAAAAATAGTTTTTCCTGCCTCTCAGCCAGAGACATTAGTATTTGTATAGAGACAGAACTGGCCACTTGGGACGTGCTTCTTTAAAAAGGGGGTTCAGTTAGATCTTGTTTTTCTAGCTGACTGGAAGATTGACTCAGCCTTCCATCCTTCCAAGGTTGGTAAAATGGGGACCCAGATTGTTGGGGCACAATATGCTGACTCCGTAAACTGCTTAGAAAGGGCTGTAAGGCACTGTGAAGCGGTATATAAGTGTAATTGCTATTCCTACCAGGATCTAATATAAATACACAAACTGGTAGAGAAAGGAAGCTAGAAATGAATCTACCTATAATTTTTACAGAAAGAAAAATATGGTACTTTGGAATCACATGTCTAACAATCCTAGGACACATATATTTACCTTCATTCATAAATCAGTAAAAGCCATTTACTGTACAATGCTGTAGATATATTGATACTACAGATAGGCCTCAATCTATGACTGTAATGGAGCCTGCCCATCAGGGCCATAAGTCATGATGGTTGTAAAATGGGCCATCCCTGAAACAACCCAATTTTGCAGACCTTCTCACAGCAATTGTTAAACAAAGGTTACAATCATTAAGCACAAGCCACAATCACCACAGTCATTAAGCAGACCAGTGGTTCACTATGACCTGGTTTTGCTGAAAAACAGAAGTAAATGCTGGTGTTCAGCAAAGAGGTAAAATTTTCGGACCACAAGGTGCTGTAAATGGCTGAAAATGCCAAGCACCTAAAATGTAATCATGTGACCACAGGAGGGGATGGGGTGCTGGAAGTTAGGAACTCAGTATAAGTACCCGTGGTCACAAGCCGAGGATTTACCTGCGTAGCTCCACTAGCATTAAAATTGTTTATTTTTATTTTGTTATATTAAATTTAAAAAGTGTCTTACATTATTATATTTTTTGTGATGCTGGTGTATGTTGAATACCACTTTGTTTCTGGCTCCATTGTGCTAAGTGGTAGGTCCACAGTGAATAAAATAACTATTATGAGTAAACTACAGGCATGTCAGTAACTATGTTAATACTTTAGATATCTGCACTGCCACATTCCTTCACTTGAAGTCTTCCAGGTGTGTTAGAACCAAAATTCTCAGAAATCCTACCCAAGTTATTCTTTGACTTTCCAGGAGGTTAAAGTTTCAAGACATCTGATGTAAGACCAGGTTGGGGAAAGGCAGAATTTACTTATTTATGTATTTATTGAATTTATTTGCCATCTATCTCATAAGGAAATGACTCTGGGCTGGAATACAGTCCCTTGGTCTCCAAGTTACAGCCCTTAAGGGCACATGAAACAAGGAATGAAAGTCGTTAGGTAAAGGCAGGACACAAACAAATTACTATGGCACAGACAAATAATTAACAAGCCTCGCCTTGATTCTAAAAACAGTTTGTACAAACTGTGATTCAAATAAGTGTGATTAGAAGGCTTGGTGTCAGATTTAAACTGTTTGATTTGGAACACTGAGGTCAATTTAACTGAGATCCCTAAGAGGACATGCTTGCCAATTGCCACTGTGCCTTCTAAAGAAAAATCAAGGGTCCCCCCCCCTCCCCCCAAATATAGCCATTTGGCTAATACCTTATTATTACTCTTTCATCAGACCACAGATTGTGGGGTAGTCAAATCTTGACATTAACATGTTTTTCTGACTGGCACAGTTCTCAGAACGTCCTTTGCTTCTATGCAGAATAGGAACACTGTATTCCTATGTTAAGCAAATGCAAATCTCAGCTGCAATTAGAGTAGATACCTGTTTTTAGCTCCTAGTGAAGGAGGCTACTTGTATCAGTCTCCCCATGTTATCCCCTGCTTTGTCAGTCAGCTAACAGTAGACAGAAGATGAACGTTGAACATTATTCATGTTATAAATATTTGCTGGGGGTCTTTATCTCCATCCGGATCTCCAGAGTTTATGACAGACAACACCCGTCTCATAAGGCGAATCCCATTTCCTCATTCTGCTCACATGGTTGAAACTATGAACTTTATTTTCATTTTTCATTTGAAGAATTGGAACATTTGATGGCAGAAATATTGGCTGAATGGCTAGGAA